GCATTTTCATAACAGTATAATTAAAAAAAAAGATTGCACATGAAAATGCAAATCTATTATATACAATTTACTATTCCTTTTAAATAGAAAAGTTATCATGTAATTTTCTTTTCCTTTTGCAAAGTGCTTATCTCATTTAATCATCATAACAGCCCTGTAAGGTAGGTGCTATTATTATTTTTTTCAATCCCAATTTTACAGATGAGGAAACATACAGACAGAGACTAAGTGACTTGTCCAGGATCACAAAGTTATCTGAGGCAGGATTTGAATTCCAGGTCCAGCACTCTACATACTGTGCCACCTAGCTGCCTCTAATTACCCTCCCTTTTTTTTTGTTTTTCTTTCCTTCAAAAACAAGTCTAGACCCTGAAAATTTGAGAGCTGCTTTCTAATTAGAAGGCAGATTTGTTAAGTTGTATTTTAAATACAAAACTAGTACAGTTCTAATAAGTGGATAAAGTCTTTTCATTTGTTCTTCTACTACTTTCAGGTCAGCATCTGAAGGATCTCACACAAGGCTGTGACATATTGAGACTGACTCTCATTATCTTGTAACTAAGTCACTATTTGCCCCAAGCCCCTCAATGGTGACAGAGGATTGTCCAGTTGTAAGATTAGGAAAAATCAGAGAGGGGAAGGAGTTGTTTGGGGAGTGTCAGATTCTTTCCCTAAATTTATGCCATGTGGTAAGACTGAAAGATTACTAGTTCTTGAAATCAGGAAGACCCGGATTCACATCTTGCCTCTGACACCAATTTCATGACCATGGAGGGGTCACTTAAGCTCTGATACTATTTATCTCATGGGACTCTTGAAAGACTCAGATAAGATGGTGGCGTTTAGAAGGCAGCATATGAACCTTAAAGCACAACTGTAATGTGTCAGTTCTTATTACTTTCTGTTGCTCTCTTCCTCTGAAAGGACCATAATAATGTTACTTTGGGAACCTTCCCATAAAGGGCTCAAAAGTTCTTTTACATAATAATTACCTTAGCATACCTACTCTGACCTAGCCTCTCTAAAAACCATTCAAAACACTACTGTGACAGTTCCTACAGAAAGATGAAAACGACATAAAAACACTTAGAAACATGCCAACTGTTTCATGTGAATGACATACAGTATAATTGTTTGACACTTGTAACCTTATTACTTCCAGAAGGAAATAAATATGTGCACATACCTCTGGGGGTCTTTAAATATGTAAAGGGAAAGATACTCAGAAGTATGTAATTTGTAAAACAAGAGTAATTGTGGTTAACAACAAAGAGCTTTCAAAATGACAGATATAATTTTTTTAGGAAAAGTAAGCAATTGGTATTGCATATAATTACAGTGATAAACCACAATACGTTATATAAGTTCTGAGCTATAATAGAAACATGAAAGGAAGGCTGTAACAAGACACAGTTGGATCCAACCACCTCACATTTATGTCTATAAAACCAGCTTCCAAGGCCTGTTTTTACTGGAAAGGTTTCAGTAAATGTTCTTTAGTCCTATGGGGTCAGTAATTGGACATGTTTATGAATACTGTGACTAAGTGATGTTAACTACTTTTGTCTGAAATTGTTAAATACACGCATATATGTACAGATAGAGAGATGGATGGAATCTTACTTTTAAAATTAATTTAAACAAATGGTATCTTTATTCACAGGCTTCTATCTCAGAGGGACATTATTCAACTTGTCAGCTTCACACATCTAGGTTCTTTAAAAATAAAATAAAAAGTATATAATGTTTGTTATCCCACATTTAAACCTCTGAACACTGGTGGGAGGGGAGGGGGAAAAAATCACATCTAACAATCTTTTGGCCCTTCTAAATCAAAATGTACATTTTGAGTCTTTTTTTTTTTTTAAGCAGTAGTGATAAATCTAAATTGATTTAAATCACACACTTGACTTAAGGTTCCTTCTGATCCATGGCACAGCTCGGGTTATTAGAAGCACAGTCTGTGACCATGAAATAGAGTATGTTCATACGGTGTCTAATTAATAACACTCCACAAATAAGACATGTCCCTTTCAACTCTAGATCCCAAAAGCCTAACAGACTTGAAGGGTCACTAAATATTTAGCGTAAACCAAAATTCCAGAGAACATCTTTGATATTTGGAACAGTGTAGTTTAAAAGACCAATTGCAGGAAATACTTATTCACCAAGGATGTTCTGTTGTTCAATCTTAAAAACTTGCCACCTGTTAGCTTATTTTCTGGTGTCGCTCTGCTTAGCTAGGCTGGTCCTTACACAACAGTTTGGGGGAATCTAGTGAGGTTTTTGTTCCCCTGAAAACAGTCTTTGAGAACACAGGGTCACTTCCAAGATGCAATGAAATATCACAAGTAGAACCATAAATGTGCATAATAATCATTAAAAATTAAAGAAATTATAATCATACTAAATTATAATTAATATAATACAATTAAAGTATAATTAATATACTCCTTTTAAAGACTAAGGAAAAATGGGATGGTCAATCAGGCAGATTAAAAGAAATAGTGAATTATGGAAGATTCTGCATTTTAGGATCCATTTTGCCTGAGGGTTATCTACTATCAAAAAGTCTTTTATCAACAACAAAAATTTTTTTAAAAAATCAATCCCATGTAATATAACTAAAAGATAAACCTACTCCAATCTCATTGAAGGATGGCGGCCTAAGAACACACAATGCTCAATGAACCTCAAATCAGCCTGACTCAAGATGAATTGATTCAAGTACCACACAGCATTATTGAGAAATTAAATACCAGTACATGTAAGCCAAAGCTGTAAATATATGGCCAAATTCAAATCCCACAGTGGCCAGTTGTTTTTTCAGAGAAATGCTTTCACAAACTATCTCCATCTAACTATCTGAAGTCTGTGGTTAGGAGAACACAAAGCTGCTTGCCACTACTAAAAAAATCCAGTTCCTTCCAGTTCTAGTCCAGAAACATCTCTTTACATACAAAGTCAAGTAACAGGTATAGTCCCAAAGACCAAGTGGTATCATGAGTATATTCACAGGAACCTCTGACTACTTCCTGTCTCTTTTTCCCATGCTCTCTATAATCCTGAGACTGCAGATGTGTAGCAAAGATAGCCCGCTTTCAGCAAGGACAACAATGATTTTGGGCAGTTAAGTGAGGCAGTGGATAGAGTTCTGAGACTGGAGTGAGTTCAAACCTGACCTCAGACTCCTACTAGCTTTGTGATCCTGGGCAAGTCATTTAACTCAATTTCCTCAAATCTGTACAATGAGCTGGAGAAGAAAACAATAAACCTCTCCAGTATCTTTGCCAAGAAAACCCCAAATGGGGTCACAAAGAGTCAGCCAGGACTGAAATGACTGAACAACAACAACAATAAAACTTAAAATATAAGAATGCATACTTTTCCAGCCCGCTAGAAAACTGCCAAAGCTTCCTTTTCAGCCACCTAGGTCAGCTAGGTGATGCACTGGGCCTGAAATCAGGAAGACCTGAGTTCAAATATGGCCCCAGATACTCTCTAGCTATTTGACCCTGCATAAGTTACTTAACCTTTGTTTCTCTCAGTTTTCCCATCCGTAAAGTGGGGGTGATAATAGTACTTACCTCCCAGTGTTGCTGTGAGGATCAAATGAGATAATAATGGTAAAACCTTAGCACAGTGCATGGCACGTAGTTGGGTCTTATAAATGCTTATTCCCATTCACTAGCCCAACTCCCCCATTTTAGAAGTGAAGAAACTGGGACCCACAGAAGCTAAGTGGTCTGTCCAAGGTCAAAGAGGTAGGTAATAAGGCAAATTCTGGCATTTTTTACCAAGCTGAAAAGGCTTTGGAGAAAAGGAATAGCATTTTAGTTTTTAGTCCTAACAGGTCTATTGTCTGAGGATCTGTTTGGTTAATTCAAGAAAGCTCATTACCAGAGGGTTGCCTACCCAATAAGGTTTTTTTTTTTTTCACACACATCAATTCACAAAGACTATTTACTAGGCTATAGAAACATTGCAAATTGGATTAAGTGCTTTGTTTTGTTTTGGGGAAAGGTGGAAGAAGAGTAGGCATCTACCTGGATGAAAAATTGAAATAAGAGTTATCTCTGAATTCTAGTTGTTGTTCTTCAATGCAGCAAAATCACAGTATCATATGCAGATTTGGAACTGGAAGAAACCTTAAGAAGTCATTAAGTCCTAGATTTTATTTTTATAGACCAGGAAACTGAGACATAAAGGAGAGGATCTCTCTTAAATTCATCCAGGCAGTCCTAAGTAGCAGAGCAAGAAATCAGGTCCTCTAGCTTTAAATCTAGAGTTCTTTCTACAGCCATAATTACGGTCCTCTGTGATCAGTGCTTCTTCAGTGTTTGTATATTAACAAAGTAAAAGAACTGAATCAAACAGAACCTTAAGATTTTTATCAAGTCAGGAAGTTTGGATTTTAAACGCGAAACCTCCCACTCATTATAAACCCTGAGTAAAAGTGCTTAAGCTAATGCCCTCAGATGATGGTCTCCAGGCTAAAACAGCATCATCCTTATTCACAGATTCTCTTCCCACTCCACCTCCCCCCTCCTTGGCATTCTTTGGAAACCTAAACTGTTATCAAGTAAGAGCACCAAGCAAGCATCTAAACTTGTTATCTAGGTTCTCCTCCCCTCCAAAAAATAAAGAATCCACAGAATCATAGAATTTTAGGTGGAAAGGGCCACCTTTTTTTTTAGGTGGCCACCACTTCCAACTCCATCACTTATACAACCCCAAATATGTGCCAGATGAAGAACTGAGGCTAGAGTAGCTAAAGGACTTGCCCAAGATAACAAAGCTAGTAAGTCTAGGAGGCAGGATGTGAAGCCAGGTCTTCTTGATTCAAAATCCAGCACCCTATTTATTTACCACACCATAATGTCTTCCAAATACTGTCCTTTAGCCAGTGATGTCGATTTCCAAAATTACAGAATGATTTACTCCCAAACAATCCACTAAAGCAAAAGTAGTAAAACAGAATGCACTTTTGTGTTTTTCAGATTTAAAAAGCTAATAGACCAAGAAACAGCCTACCACAAACAAAGAGAACAAGAGAACAAGAAGAAAGTCACCGCACTCAAGGAGGAGCTGACCAAACTGAAATCATTTGCCTTGATGGTTGTGGATGAACAACAGAGGCTCACTGAACAGCTCAACCTTCAGAGTCAGAAAATCCAAGACTTGACCACAACTGCTGAGCAAGCACAGGAGAAACTGGCCATTGCTGAAGCCAAAGCTCAGGAAGAAGAGCACAAGGCAAGCAGGCTAGAAAGGGAACTGCAAAGACAGACCGAGGAGCTCCACGACAGCCAGGAAGCAACAATGGCCAAACTCACCAATGAGGACAGCCAAAACCGACAGCTCCGGCTAAAACTAGCAGCACTCAGCCGCCAAATTGATGAGCTGGAGGAGACAAATAGGTCTTTACGAAAAGCGGAAGAAGAATTACAAGACCTAACAGAAAAGATCAACAAGGGAGAAGGTGGTAATTCCAGCATCCTGGCAGAAGTGGAAGAACTCAGGAAAAGAGTACTAGAAATGGAAGGCAAAGATGAAGAGTTCGTAAAGATGGAGGAGCAGTGCCGAGATCTCCACCAGAGGCTGGAAAAGGAGACATCCCAGAGTAAGGACTTTAAACTGGAGGTTGACAAACTCAACAAGAGGATTATGGATTTGGAAAAACTGGAGGATGCCTTTGGCAAAAGCAAGCAGGAGTGTCACGCTCTGAAATGCAATCTAGAAAAAGAAAAGATGACGACAAAGCAATTGTCTCAAGAACTGGATGGTTTAAAAGTGAGACTCAAGGAGTTGGAAACAATTGAGAGTAAGCTGGAGAAGACAGAATTCACCCTAAAAGAGGATTTAACTAAATTGAAAACACTGACAGTGATGCTGGTTGATGAACGGAAAACGATGAGTGAAAAAATGAAGCAGACGGAAGACAAGCTACAGGCTGTTACATCTCAGCTTCAAGTAGAACAAAGCAAAGTGACATTGGTAACGGAAAAGTTAATTGAGGAAAACAAAAGAGCACTAAAGTCCAAAACGGATGTAGAGGAAAAGGTGTATAACGTGACCAAAGAGAGGGATGAACTGAAAATCAAGCTTAAAGCAGAAGAAGAGAAAGGAAATGATCTCTTGTCAAAAGTTAACATTCTGAAAAAGAGACTCCAATCATTAGAAGCTATTGAGAAAGATTTTCTCAAAAACAAATCAAAACAGGAGACTGGTAAGTCAACAATAGTTGTACACCAAGAAAATAATAAGATTAAAGAGCTTTCCCAAGAGGTGGAGCGACTGAAGCATAAATTAAAAGACATGAAAGCTATTGAAGATGATCTCATGAAAACTGAAGATGAATATGAGTCTCTTGAGAGACGCTATGCTAATGAAAGAGACAAGGCTAAATTTCTATCGGAGGAACTTGAGGATGTTAAAATGGAACTTGCTAGGTACAAGTTAGCAGAAAAGACAGAGTCTAGTCAGGAACAGTGGCTTTTCAAAAGGCTTAAAGAGGAAGAAGCCAAGTCTGGTCACCTCTCAAGGGAGGTAGATGCATTAAAGGAGAAAATTCATGAATATATGGCAACTGAAGACTTAATATGTCACTTACAAGGTGACCATACAATTCTACAAAAGAAACTCAATCAACAAGAAAACAGAAATAGAGACTTAGGAAGAGAGATTGAAAACCTCACCAAAGAATTAGAGAGGTATCGGCATTTCAGTAAGAGTCTCCGACCCAGTCTTAATGGAAGAAGAATTTCTGACCTTCAAGTATTTTCTAAAGAAGTCCAAACTGAACCAGCAGACAATGAACCTCCTGATTACAAAAGTCTCATCCCTTTGGAACGAGCTGCAATTAATGGGCAGTTATATGAGGAAAGTGATAATGAGGATGAAGAACCCAATGACAATGAGACAACGGTGTCCTTCAAATGTAACTCATCTACTGCACATCCGGTCAACAGGAAGTTATGGATCCCTTGGATGAAATCCAAGGAAGGTCATCCTCAGAATGGAAAAATACCAGCCAAACAGAATGGAAGTTATGTGCAACCTGGGGATCTGGTCCTAAGTCACACACCTGGTCAACCTCTTCACATAAAGGTTACTCCAGACCATGGGCAAAATACAGCCACTCTTGAAATTACAAGTCCTACGACAGAAAGTCCTCACTCTTACACAAGCACTGCAGTGATACCCAACTGTGGTACCCCAAAGCAAAGAATAACCATTATTCAAAATGCCTCCATAACACCAGTGAAGTCAAAAACCTCTACTGATAGCCCCATAAACTTAGAGCAAGGCACAGCCCCTATTACCATGGCTACCTTTGCCAGAGCACCAACCCCAGAATCCTGTGGCTCTATAACTCCCGAAAGGACAATGTCTCCCATTCATGTTTTGGCTGTGACTGGCTCAGCAAGCTCCCCAGAACAGGGACGGTCCCCAGAGCCGGTGGAGATAGGTGCCAAGCACGCCGTCTTCAGAGTTTCCCCAGAGAGACAGTCAGCGTGGCAGTTTCAAAGGTCAAACAGCAATGGTTCAAGTGTGATAACTACTGAGGATAACAAAATCCACATTCACTTAGGAAGCCCTTACATGCAAGCTGTGGCCAGTCCTGTGAGGCCTGCCAGTCCTTCAACTCCACCACAAGATAACCGAACTCCAGCCCTAATTAATGGAACATCAGGCAAAGCGACAAATAAAGTCACCAGCAGTATTACTATCACACCAACGACCACGCCCCTCCCTCGACAATCACAAATTACAGTAAGTAATATATATAACTGACCCCTCATCATCATCATCCACACTGACATTCTTACAAGGAACTTACTCCCCCTCCCCTTTCTTCTTACCTCTCTCCAAATTTAAAAAAAAAAAAAAAAAAAGACTGAACTTTTACTTTGGGAGAGATTTGTGCATGAACTGTACAAGAATATATAAAACTAACTAAGTTTTGCCTGCATAGTCATATCAAGTGTGCACTTACTGTATATCGTTTGTTTTTTGTTTTTTTTCATTTACCTACCTGTATGGAAAATATTTAGTCTGTACTTGTATAAATGCATCTTTATGTATTTCATTTTCCATAACTCACATTAATTTTGACTGCAATTCGTCTTGGTGAAATATTTTAACATTATAAAACAGTAAATAATTTGTTATTTTTACCATTGCTTGCTGGATTTTCTTTTGGTCATCTTGTGTTACATTTTTGCATGTACATCAGAATTTTATTTTACTTTTAAAGTGTCTTTTAATTCTACCCTTAAAACAAGACCTACTACTCATTTACTTTTGAATATCCACACTAAAAGAAGGGGATGAATGGCACAAATATCTCCAAAGAACAGATAGTCTAGCATGTGTTTCTATTTCAATTCAGAATTATTTTACCTAAGCTATTGTTAAAGTTGGTTTGTATCCTCTGAGTCCCAAATGAGGATAGGAAACACTCTTTGAAAAATAGGTCTGTGACCGGCCAAGAAATTGAAAGTTTTCTAGGGGCAACTAAGGGTTTATTAATTTTCTATGACTTGTCTAAAAATATAAAAAGAAAAAAAAATCCAACCTATACTGTCAGTTATTGTCACATAACAAACTTTGTGCTTAGAACAGTCACTAACCCAGTTTAAAAGAAAAGACATAATTCTTTTCCAATTTAGTTCACGAAAGACTTGAGGTTTTTCTCCTTGATACCACACCTCTAATAACTACATTGTACTCAGCTTATGTCATAGGTTTGTTTTTGTTTTTAATCTCAACAAGCAAATAAAAACCAAAGATACTCAGAATGAACTCATTTGGGGGAAAAAAGAAAGTGCCTAGAGTAATTATATACATAACCTGAACTGATTTATTCTTTAGTTACCAGTTGTGTCCTTTATAAATTACAAGGAACTGAGCCATTCAAATTCCTAAAGTATTTTGAATCTGGATTATAGGATTTATTGATTATATTAAGTCCACTCAGTCCAAAGACTGAATGAAACTTTTGGGAGACCCACTCCATGTTGTGAGTTACTGATTTAGACTGAGTTCCAAAACAAATCAGCCCACCACCCCCTTTCCTTTTTCCAACTCTAAAACCACTATATTAATTCAATGAGGTCAGTTTTCACAGTCCCAAATTTGTAACAGTTCATCTCATCATTCCTAACTGTGAGAGGTGTTTAAAAATAAAACCAAACTTCCTCTCTTCATAAGCATCCTCTGCTTTTTCTGTATAATCAATTATTAAAGGACCATAAAGCTAAGGTTTTGTTGACAGAAACACCTCCATGGTGACGAACTCCAACACCAACTTCACATCATTATCCAGTGAGTTTGGCAAAAATCAGAGTCTGGCGATGCATGGAAAAGCTTGTGTTTAGACACATTTATCTTGGGAACCAAAAGTGACCCAGCAAGAACGAAAGATACTACAAAATACGTAACAGATTAAAGGAGTTTCAGTAATTTTAAGTTTTAAATAAAACCTTTTAGAGAAATTACATATGAAGTCTTAGTCTTAAAAGATAGGCATTATTTACCAGCATCAACTAAAATCAGCCTCCGACCTACTGAGAGTTTCAGAATGCTTAACTGCCATGTTCCTTAAATAATTACTTCAACAGCAGCCATGAGAAGTTAAATGCCTTGTGCTAGAGAATGACCAGTCAGTCACAACTCAAATAAGCAGCAGAAAGAACTCAAGAACATCAGGGTTTTGTATTGCAGTCTCCTAGGCCCTAAGCTATATCCATTACTACATGGAATCAATGTCTACTACAATGTGAAGCTAAATATTTCCTTAGACTAAAGGACTGCAAAGCTTTCATCACAATGACATTTCTCTATGCCAAGGCCCATGGTTCCAAAGCACTAATTGTCTTTTTGTCATCCTAGATCAATTCTTCTGTAGCCAACCACCCCAAGTGTTAATCTCAAATCCGAAGAAAACAGCTTTTTCAAAGAGTTACTTTCTTTCAGAGGGATTTCTCTACCAGAAAGACATTAGATTTATTTCAGTTCACACTTTAAAAACAAGAAAAAATTTCAGGCATACTAACAGATTAACAAATCTTACCTAAGTTTGTTTGTTTTTCAATTTCCCCTAAACTGAATACATAGCAAAGACCTTTAACGACTCATAAAAAATATCTCCCATTTTTTAGATCTCTAAATAATTAATTTTTCCTACAAAATCATCTATGTACGGCTGGATCTTGAATTCAGTAATAAAAGTATAAATCACTGTTTAGACTACCAAAAACATTAATCACCTCCTACCTTTCAGGATAATTTCTCATTTGAAAAAATTTCACTTTTGTTATTCAAAGGAAAAAAATCATTTGCAGTGTTACATGAGGGTATGTTATAAGCTAAAGGGTAGAAAATGCTCCCTCTCATCTTAACACATTCAAGGACTTATTCCCTATTCCCCAGTGTATTCTCCTTGCACCATTCCAGGCACATATCGCTTTAAGTAGAACTAAGTTTTGTAATGTTTTCCTCTCACATACTACAAATTAACAGTTATTCATAATTTTAAAATATGTTTTCTGACTCCTGAAAATGTGTGTGTACCTGTGAAAAATGAATGGGGAGAGAAGACAATAAAAATGAAACAGCTCTGATAAGGGTATTGTAACAGAGATCGATAGATAATTCAAATCTCTAACTTAAATGGAGAAAAGCTTGTAAAATTCTGTCCCTTTTCTTATGTTGCAGGATTTTCTGTTCACATGAACAACAAAAAGATGGCACGGGGGTGGGACATAAAACGAGGTCTCCTCTTCCTCCCACCCAGTTAGCCACTTCTAAACTTCTAAGGGCTAAAAACATCTTGCAGGTCATGCAAAGATGATGATGGGTTCTGAAATATCTAGTCACGAAACAAACATAACCATATACTTTAGAAGTACATACTTATGGTTAGGTTTTAAAAAACCATAAAAGAAAATTGTATCTTTCTTCACTCGAAAATATATTTCTTTGTATTGGTGCCATATGGAAGATTTCCACCTTCCCTCATCTTTTTATGTATTTGATAAACATTTATTAAATGCCTACTAAATTCCAGGTACTTTGTTAAGCACACGGGATACAAAGACAGGCATAAGACAATCTCTGCTCTCAAGGAACTCACAGTCTAATGGGAGGGAAAACATGTCAACAACGATGTACAAACAAGAGATACAGGATAAACGGAAGGTGATCAACAACCGAGGGAAGGGGCCAGCCTTAAGTAGGGATCAGGAGAGGCTTCCTATAGAAGGTGGGATTTTAGCTGGGATTGGAAGGAAGTCAGGGAATCAACGAAGAACAGAGGGAGGGAATTCCAGGAATGGGGAGCAGTTGGTGAAAATGTATGGAGTCAACAGATGGAGTGTCTTGTGTGAGGAATGGAAAAGAACCCAGGGTTACTCGATCGAAGAGTGAGAATGAATAAGGTTTACGAAGACTTCAAAGGGGGAGCAAGTTATAAAGGGCACTGCCCTACAAACAGGATGTTATATTTGATGCTCAAGATGATAGGGCGCCAATGGAGTTTATTGAATAGGGGAGGCGAAACAGTCAGACCTGAGCTTTAGGAAGATTACACGAGAGCAATAAATGGTAGATGGACAGTGATGGGGAGAGGCTTAAGGCAGGGAGACCAACCATAAAGCTATTGTAATAGCCCACAAGCATGAGGTACTGAGGACCAGCAGCAAAGGGCAAGAGTGTCAGGGGAGGAAAGGAGGCATATGGGAGAAATATTAGAAATGTAAAATCAACAGAACTTGGCAACAGATTGGCATCACAGAAGAGACACAGAAATCAGGATGGCATGGCCAGAGGTAGGAGGTAGCATCAGGAAATCTTTAAGTAGAAAAGCAAAACCAGTCAAGGAGGATAGGGTTGAGTAAGGATGACTATGTTTTTTCAAGTGAAAAACAAAAAACATAAAACACAAAACAAAAAAACAAGAGGATCTTAAAAGATATAAAGGAGATTATTTTTATATTAAAATGAAGAAATGGCGTCACTTCTTTCAAATTCCAGATTCCATTTAGGCCCAAATTTTAATTTCCCCAGAATTCAAAGTCTCAGACCCTAAAAATCTGTTTGGACTGGTTTGCTGGATTTTATAGTATTCTTCCTTCCCCAAAGTACTGAGAGATGTTTAAAATCCAAATAAATTGAGAGGTTTTTTTTTTTCTTAACTTACATTTGTTTACTGATAATTTAATGACAATTCTCAAGATTACTTACTGGAGACAAGCTGCAGTATAGCGAATCCAGGACTGGGCATCAATAATCTGAAATCCCAATTCATGTTTCTTTAAATAGTTGTCTTTCAACCTGGCTATAGGACTACAGAAACTTAAATGCCCTCTACCATTTGAATTTATGAATTACTATACTTAAAATGGGCTTGAATATATACTTCAACACTGTTTTACCACAGTTGGCTAGTCTTAACTTTGTGAATTCCAGTCCAACTTAGTTACAAGTGAAAAGGAGTGAGGCAGTCTCAGTTTTAGCCTCTAATGGCTATTTGGTACTCCATCACAAAACCACTATGGGGACTGGCACAGTTGGTAATTCTTGCTGCTCTGACATCATGGACTAGAGCCATAATGAGCCCAAGACAGTTAGGATGGGATTGAAAGTGGTCAACAGTTGTAGAATACTATGGAGCAGTAGAAAACTACACAGTTTAGACCCCACCCCTGGTCTAAACCAAGAGCATTCCTAGAATCAAATCAATCAATGAGGATTTATTAAGCCCCAACTATGTGCCAGTCACTATGGTAGGATTTCTAGATAAACAAAAATATAAAACAATACTTCCTCATAAGTAACTTACATTCTATTAAGGGACACAACATATACATACGTTAGCAGGTAAATAAACACT